ACAATTTAAGTGCAATATGCAAACGCTGGTTAGAAACTAACCGTTCCCCCTGTTAAAAAGTTATTTGGAGGACCAACTAATGCTTGTATTTCATTTATAAGGATCTTGTATGATTGTCCTCGATATAAATTACAAATAATTAACTGTATCACCTGTTTTCAGCAAAAGCCACTAGGAGGAGATAACTCAGGAAATGGTTTCCAATAGAGAGGCCCACAACTGAATAATTGGTATCCGACACTGATGGACTGTAAGTGGTTTATAATTATATTATCTTAGCTAGAATAAGTACAGGTGATATCCTTATTCATGCAAGTACTTAACGATTTGGGGGGATTTTAGTAATCTTTTTATCCCACAATAGTACCTTGAATCAGCAAATTCAATGGGATATTTCATAAAGGATTTCTTTTTAATCAGTTTTGAAAACATTTCATTTGATATGTCATCCTTTATTTGGGTATTAGAAGAAAGGTTAAATATGTGCTACAGCTACTTCCAATCAGGTATCTCTCTCTCTGCCATTTTTTGCATTCTCTTCTATGCCTCGATAATAATTTTAATTTTTGTTTAGTCTTTTCTTACATATGATGAAAGCTTTGAGATGAAGGATAGGATAAAATGTGAACATAGTATCCATTGATGTATATACTTTTATACATAAATATACAGGAAACCCTCATTATTCGTGGGTTCGGCATTCACTGTTTCAAATATTTGCGAAAGCCAAACCCATATTTTAAATACACTTTATACACTTCCAAGAGCTCCTCGGGAGCTCTGCATTCGCTGCCACCATGCTCCTGCTGCCACCGCACCGCCCCAGCTGCCAAGGGCACTACGTTCATGAACGAGTGCCTTATTCACAGATTTCGCCATTCGCGGGGGATACAAAGACGTATCCCCTACAAATGGCGAGGGTCGCCTGTATTGTATACTTTTGGGGTACAATAGTAGAGCAGTTAAGATACCTTACTAAATTCCAGAGGCACAGGTAAAGAAACCCAAAAAACAAAACCTCATTTCACGCTTGTGCTAGAGGCTGCCTCATTTCAAGTGGGTATCTGGTCATTCAGATCAGTCAGTCAGGCAAAGGCAGCCACAAATTATTTTGAACACATCACTTGTGTCACTGTCTACAGAAATGGATGTGCCTTGTCCACTCGAGTTGAATGTCTGCCAAGATCAAGCAGACTATAACTCCTAATTTGTTATCATACAATAATACAACTTGGTATTATACTACAGCAAGTATCAATTAGATTTTATCACTAGAGATTTTATCACTAGAAAATTTGAATAGTTTGTTTACTAACTGTTCCTCTATTTCACTGTTGTAGTATAAAAGAGCCTGCAGTTTGCTTTCTAATTCAAACACAATTTGCATAGATTTCAGAGACACTAGGGGCTGGAAGGGACGTCATGAGATCATCGAATCCAGCCCCCTGCCATGGGTGGGAAGTCAGCTGGGATCAAGTGACCCTAGCAAGAAAAATCTAGCAGTTTTTTTGAAGGAGTTCAGAGTTGGTGCTTGCACCACCTCTGGGGGGAGTTTGCTTTAGACTCTGGACACACGCACCGTAAAGAACTTCTTTCTTATATCCAATCTAAAATGGACTTCCTCGAGTTTATGGCCATTAGACCTTGTTATCCCTTGGGGAGCTCTGGTGAACAGATGTTCTCCCAGGTCCTGATGAATTCTTCTTATGAAGTTGTAGGCTGCCACCAAGTCCGCCCTGAGCCTTCTCTTTTCCAGTCTGAAGAGTCCCAAGTCCCTCAGCCTCTCCTTGTACAGCCTTCCCTCCAGGCCATGGATCATACAAGTGTCTCTCCTCTGGACTCTCTCAAGCTTTTCCACATCCTTCCTGAAGTGGGGGACCCAAAACTGGATGTTGTACTCCAACTGTGGTCTCACCAGGGCTGAGTGAAGTGGGAGGATGAGTTCCCTGGTTTTGCTTGATATGCATCAGTGGATGCACGCCAGAGTTTGGTTAGCTTTGCCTGCCGCTGCATCACATTGGGAGCTCATATTCATCTTGTGGTCAGTCAAGACCCCCAAGTCCCTTTCAGTCGTGGTACTAGCGAGTGTAGCACTGCCAAGACTGCAAGTATGCTGAGGGTTCTTCCTACCGAGGTGCAGCACCTTGCATTTCTCTGCATTGGAGGCCATCTGGTTTTGGTCAGCCCACCTTGAGAGTGCATCCAAATTGGCCTGTACTCCCAGCCTGTCCTGCAGTGTGATGGCCCTCCCCCATAATTTGGTATCGTCCACGTCTGACTCTCGAATCTAGATCATTAATGAAAACGTTAAAGAGTACTGGCCCGAGTACCGAGCCCTGAGGGACTCCACTGGAAACCCTGCGCCACACTGATTTGCTCCCTTCAACTAGTACTCTTTGGGTCCAACCCCATAGCCAGTTGCTTAGCCATTTTCAAAACAACGAAATTCAAACAACAATTTTCCGGACTTTTTGCAATGTAAACAGATTGAGTTTGTAAAGATGTATATCACCTTTGTAAAACACATTCCATGTTGGCTTCTCAAAGAAGATTCATAATGCATCCTACCTCCATTTTAAAAAACTTTACATGTAAATGAAGGGGAAAAAAATTCCCCCCCACCAAAGTGCATGGTGGTATGCAAGTTTGGGGGAGGCCTTAAGAAAATGTTTCTAGGAGTTCTGCCTACCAAGACACTCCAACTAGCAAAGAGCATGTTAGCCTTCACACAATACAGTCAAGATACATACATATATGAAAAGAAAAAAATATATATATAAACAGAGCTACTGAGTCCTAAAACAGATATAGTGCAATGCTCACTTGTCTGATTTGTAAGAGAAGTGACAGAAGGTCAGATCCTCTGGTGAATGAAGCTGGGATACATCTGCTGTGGAGCTGTAGCAATTAACGGTAGCTTAGGAACTGACACTTTCGTGTGAAAATATGGGGGAAGTTCAGCCTCTTTGTAGGGCAAATCTATATTTCATTATACTTGCTTAATATCCTATATTAAAACAAAGAATGGTTACTTACCTTAGTGACTGCAGTTTTTTGTGCTTCAACCCTTGGAGCACATACGTATGAAATCAGAATCCTTTAGGCAGCAATGTCCACTGGGACTGCATCTCTACATCTGCATCTTCAGGCTCCCCACCTCAGCAGAGCTCAGTGAGACACCATATGCATGCCAAATCACAAAGAAATGCTACTATAGCTAGAAGTTAATACCTGCAGAGCACAGGTAGCATGTCTCAGCATTGATCTGCTTGGTGTTGTACAAAATATACCCAGAGAAACCACGTTGTTATGAAACATGGTATGGGGAGCCTGAGAAGAGGGCCTGAATCTCTCCTCCTCTCTGAGCCGATGCAATGATCACATACATAAGTAATTCAGGGCATACATTGCTGAGGGATCAGAAGGGGGACTCAGCCTTGCTAATACTATAAGGAGATTCCAGCAAGGGAAGTTCCAAACTGGAGGGGAAAACATGAAAGGAAGAAAAGAAAAGAAGGAAAACCAAAAAAACAGAAACACACAATAGGCTACCAGATAAGAAGATATTGCTCTTAGATGTATTCTGATGAAAGGGACAGAAAATTAAAGATATTTTCAGGATCAGCTGATTATCAAATATTGATAAAATTAATGTTCAAGGGAAACAGCTGATGCCAAGATAATTAAAAAGTCCCTTCCACAACTTTGAGAGTCAGTCTAGCTGAGGCTTTTCTGCTTCAAGCTTCAGTTAAATAGCTTATTATTTCAGCAGATGTTAACTAGTCAGCATTCAGGTTCAGGATGCAGTAGTTTATTCTGCAAAATGATGTCAAGCAAGAAGTCTTCTGGTTGTATTGAAAAATTCATCAGATCTTAACACTGGCACTGCTCGGCCTGTTGCAGTGCTATCACTCAATCATCAGTCCTACAGGTCATCCCAGAACCCTCAGGATCATGAGGGTCAGTGAAGAGCATGCATCAGGTCTCAGGAAGTCTGAGGGGGCAGGTCCTCTGGAACAAATTAGATACTTG